GGGTCCCAGTAAGAAAACTGTGCAAGCTTAAAAAAATTGTTCCATCGGTTCTCAAGTTATAAGTATGGGTCATAAATGACCCAACCGGCATTGGCATAGTCACAAATAAGGAGTTATCACGAAGACCGATTTAGCTAGATACCTTATTGTGTATACTGTATAGCGGTCTCAGCCAAACAATATTAAGAGGCACTGCATTGCAATGCTTTGCAACGTCTCATTGGCGAGGCCGTTGGTGCCGCTGGCAGGCCTGTGGTGCCCCTGTTAGGCCTCTGGTGCTCCTGAGGGGACACCATAGGCCTGACGGGCCTGTGGTGTCCCTGGAAGGACTGTGGTGCCCCTAGGCCCTGACAAGCCTGAGGTGCCCCTGACAGGCTTGTGGAGCCCCTGACAGGTCTGGGGTGCCATTGCTAGGTTTGTGGTGCCCCTGGCAGACCTGTGGTGCCCCTGGCGGGCCTGTGGTGCTCCTGCTAGGCCGCTGGTGCCCCTGGGTCCTGGCAGGACTGTGGTGCCCCTGACAAGCCTGAAGTGCTCCCGACAGGCCCGTGGAGCCCTTTACAAGCCCAAGGTGCACGTGCGAGGCTGGTGGTGCCCCTGTGAGGTCGATGGTGCCCCTGGCAGGCCTCTGGCTGGTGCCCCTGGCAGGTCTGTGGTGCCCCCTGACAGACCTGTGGTGCTCTTGCTAGGCCGATGGTGCTCCTGCAGGCCTGTGGTGCCCCTAATAAGCCTGAAGCCTGTGGTACCCCTGACAGGCCCGTGGTGCCCCTCGGCCGGCCGAGTCGCCGGCCCGCCCCGCGTCACGGCCCCGGACAACCGGTCCGCTCATGATATCTCAACATCGCAACACTAGGCCTGTGGTGCCCCTGATAGGTCGATGGTGCCCCCGGGTCCCAGGGGAGGTCATGAGTGACCCATACGACCCCCGTCCTTTGGATCCGCCACTGTGATCTGATCACAACCCCCAGAAATAAATAATCGTATAATCATCAATTGCTTCCCTTGTATTCAACATACGAGAAAATTGACAACACTATTGCCGGCTGGGTCATTTATGACCCAAGGATATTTATCGAGGAAAAAAAGTTATCCGATGGCGACAAGAAGGGCAAAAATATACATCATGCCTTTTTCAGACAAATTTAGATGCCAGGTGGACGATCATTCAATAGATAGTAAAGTGCAAACATAACATAATATTACTTTTTGGGACGGCGCGCCATTGCCAGTGACCGGCGGCTGTGCAGTGCCGTCGTCTTTGGCTCCAGGAACTTCAGTGGACGAGCTCACACGAGTTTTATGCGGCTCCGACGCTCGTCGCTGAACCCACAAATCCAACAAAACACACGCACAAGTTCCTCAAAGTGCCACTTGCCTCCATTTAGGAAAAATGTTAAGATGTTGCTTTTGGGTCATATATGACCCAAGCGGCATTAATGGGTTAAGTAAGCGGAATGCTATAGGCGCGGATATGATGAGTAATAAGCTATTTTGTTTATGCTTATTCATAGACATCTATGTACATACCGAGGTATGTATATAAGAAGTCTATGGCTTATCTTATCCGAACTCAAAGCGTTCCACGTAGGTATAGGTAGCAATAGCCAATAGGCACTGTGGAGTGCATAGTCAACATAAATTTTAAAGTTCGAATTAATTATTTGGTTACTGCCGGCCTGGGAGACCTATTCAAGTAAAATATTCAGCTCATAAGGAACACGACTGCATCAGTCGATGTTAGATTTATGACGCGAATTAATTCGGACATGAATAGCGGAACTAATTTGCGGGTGCAGATACGATCCTGATTAATAGACCCGACCTCAGGCATTTAATAAGATAATCAATCCACTCCACTGGTGAATCTCTGTCGTTCTGCTACCTGAGAGCGAGGTTCCTTCTTTCCCCGATAGCTGTATTGAGTGCCATTTACCCCAGTCATGATTAAAGCAAACGTGAATACTTACTGCATTACATTACAAAGGGAAGCATGGGAATCTCAACACTAAAACCGTCTGTAGCGCATCATAGGTATACTCGTACTTCTTTATGTATCCAGGACATGAAATAAAATACATTAAGTAAATTGTAATAGATTTCTATTGCCGTGGCAATAAGTCATAAATTATCGGGCATGTTCAGTTTATAAGTTCCCCGCGTTCTGTCGTTTTTACAATGTCCCCGTCCAAGGTCTATCCAGTCATAAACGCACACCCCATCCGCACCCCATACTGCACCTACCGAGCCCGGCCGGCCGGGCTGACTTTGTGTGTGTATTAGGGGTGCCCCGGGATGATTTATGGAGAGCAGTCGCTGGGGCCGCTGTTTTATTGGTCGGGGACAGAGTGGCCCTGGTGCGGCGGCTCGCCCCAGGCTGTAAACGCGTCACCGGACGGGAACGACGCACGCGGCGAGCGGGGATCCAGACACGGGTGTACGAGTGAGCCAGGACTGAGGAGAAAATGAGTTTGACGATGTGTCTGAAGTCGTGTTTGTAATTAACGACACGTCACCGGCTTCACGTAGCGCCTCAATTGAGAAAAAAATGTGATGGGAACCAAACAACATAAAACCATTTATTATTACTCGTATAGGTATCGTTTGCAGTTGTAACATTCTTCCTCAGTCCTCACACAGCTGGATTGAAGGACAGTTGCCAAAACATCAATTCTTATCGACTGCTCATGATGCAAAGTTAGGACGGCTGTTGCAGTCATGCACCGCGGCAACATCAATGATCGTTGTCCACTTACGCTGCAATTGTGAATTGGGATCAGCCGGTACTTTACAGCCCAAACGTATGAGCACTCGCAGTCAGCACAGTTGATTCCGGTTTATGCATTCTGTTTATATGAACATGCTCCCGGGCAGTTTGGGCATACCTGTTCGGCTTCCGATTTGATTTACACTCGCACTACACAGCGGCAGATTGGACCTTATGGGTACTAGGTCTGTCTGTGCCATAATTGCTCATAAGTCCGAATCATTGCAGCGATTTTCGTCTAATTCAAGGCGGCGGTCGTGTGCAGCCTTCAAACGGCCGTTTGGTCGGTGGACATCATCCATAGACAATCGCCTTACATCAGTTCAGTAGGTGCAGCTCGCTGCTGCTGCACTGGTCCGACCCCAGCTCCGGCTCCGGCTCCGGACTCCAGACTCATCGACTGACGAACCCCGTGGCCAATAAGGCCCCCGCTCCCCTCCCCCCCCCCCCTCGGACCGCCCGCCGCACGGAGTGACCATCACTGGCGTGTGATTGTTTTACGGTACAATACGACCGGGCAGAGTCAATAAGCGTTATTGTGGTGCGATTACTGGGGTGGATTTAGTGTCAGAGCCGGCCGGCGAATGTGCGATGGCCAGAGTTAGAGGTGGTGACGGGAAAAGGAGGGTGTGAGCATTACAGAGGTTGTTGTTTCACAAGCGCGGGTGCAGCGTTCGATTACCGTTGTAATAAGAGTGATTGGGATTTTTTAACGAAAATTTCGTAGCCCTCGTCTTCGGCAGCACGCAGCCCAGACATGTAGGTACCTATGATGTTGCATAACGCTGCGCTTCAGCACATATCGAGCAGGCATATCCTCCCCCCCCCCCACACACACACACATGCACAAAGGTCAACGGTGCCGGGGGTGAAGTTCCCTTCCATTCCGTTGACCATCCCAGCCGAGTTGCAAAGGCTCCTCCCTTCCTTCATCCATCCTAACTAAGTCATACAGTGCCTACGTCCTACTCTCCAGCTGGTTACCCCAGCGGAATTACAGTCGGCCGTCCTTACTGTTGACCACCCAGTGGCATTTCGTCGGACAGAATTACAGTGTGCCGTCCCTACCCTGCACTGTTGACCACCTCAGTGGTATTTCGTCGGACAGTATTGTACCGCCGCCGTCCCTACTCCCTACTGTTGACACCACCCTGCAGTGGCATTTCGTCGGACGGCACCTGGGCGCTCCATTTTCCGGCTGATGACTTCAATCCGGACTGTGATCATGGGGCACTGTGAGTGTCCCCGGCTGATGAGACAGTGGCCGGCTGCATCCCGAGGGAGGTGTGGGGGGGGGGGCAGGGAGGGGAGGGGGACACAGGAGACGGTGACGTAACTGCGGTCAGTTGCTTTGGTACCGACAGCGATTGGGTCGCATAGATATGGTCACATGCATTGATGCTGTCATTTCAGTAAGGCATGAACTCGCTGAAAAACAGCATTGTGAAATGAATAAAGTTCGATGTATTTTGTATTTGTATGCTCATCCATGATAATTATAATGTTGCCTACTCTATAATGTCTTCAAAATAGCCGAGGCATCCTATTCGTACAGTAGGTATCGCAACCGGGTGAACTGCCCTTTCGAATGGAAGCTATCCGGTACAGCCTACTTTCAGGCGTCACTGCTGGCGCCATCTCTGAGCAGCAGTGCGAACTAATGCGTGTGCGTGGGCGCTGCAGCTCCCTCGCACTCTCTGCAGCTCTCGCAGTCACAGCGCGCTGTGACCGCGAGACGCATTGCAAGGTTTAGCGGTAACAAGTTTTAGCTACAGTTTTGTTCAAAGTATGCATTCCGTAGATCTCTGAAAAATAATGACAGCATATCCCTAATTAGACATGCTTAGCGTAGATACCGAGTCCGATCCGCCATGGGGACACGGAGAGCACTGTAAATGATGCAAGGACTGTTCACTAGTAGCTATTTGTGAATGGACTTCCAAAGATTCAGCATTCAAAGTGCGCATTGCGGCATATTGTAGGTACAACAGAAATAAAACCTACCAAAAGTCTTGCTTTCAATTAATTACAAGTTTTAGATTGAGACCAGTATCAAAAACGACTATTTTGATCTACAATCGACCGCACTCTATAATTTGATCTCGAAAACACTCTTTGTTATCAAAGACTTTTCCAATAACGTAGGTAATCACCTGGACAAGATGATCAAGTGAAATATCACAAATGGACAGTGTTTCGCCGTAGTGCCAACTCTACGAGCAAAAGCAAAGCACAAAATATATTTTAACGTTTATTGAATAAGCATAGCTCTAATGTTTATAAAAAACCACATGAGACTGAGGTAGGTGACTCACTGTACAGGATCGGATTATCGAAACGAGCCAGATATTTTCACACAAGCATAAGGCACAACAGTAAGTACGCATTCCGACAAAAAACATCTTAACAATTGCAAATAATAAACGATAAACGTCTGTGGTAGACTTAAAGCTTTACACCATATCATTCAGCGACACGCAAATGTTACTCAAAAATAAATTAAGGTGAAATAGTTGGAACAGGTCCCTCGGTGGTCACGTTGGTCGGGACGGGTCCCTCGGTGGTCGGGACGGGTCCCTCGGTGGTCGGCAGGGGTCCTTCGGTGGTCGATACGGGTCCCTCGGTGGTCGGGACGGGTGCCCCAGTGGTAAAGTTGGTCGGTACGGGTCCCTCGGTGGTCGGGACGGGTCCCTCGGTGGTCGGTCTCTCGGTGGTGGTGGTGGTGGCCGGCTCCGTGCAGTTGACGTTGAACCTGTAGTCGCACTGGTCCGTGTCCTCGTTGAAGTAGAGCCCGTCGGGACAGGTGAGCAGGATGGGCCGTCCGTTGGAGCACAGGTAGAACTGTGAGCAGCTCTGGTCGCTGGCCACGAACACGGGCTGGTCGGGGTCCGAGTTTCGGGGACAGTCGGACACGGGCGCTGCCACCAGGAGCGACGGCACGACCGCCAGCAGGGCCACACTCAGCGCCGCGCACACACGCATCATATTGATGGCTGAAACAACACAGATACGATATCAGCAGAGCTCAACCAATGGCTTCAAAACAACATGCCTTGCATGCCCATTTATTGACTAACAACCTAATCAAACAGGCACTCGTATAGGCACTATTGGCATGACTTTTAGAATTGTGAAAAGCGAGCCATTCAGGTGGATACTTTACATGCTTGGCGGCTGGCCGCCTGGACTAGCGATTTTTAAGTTTGTCTTACCTTTGAATCGAGGAGGTACTTGTCACCACTGAACCAACGGCTTCTGCCTTCTGGACTGCCCCGCTCTGCGATGCCTGTCAGCTGTGTAGCTCTGGCATTCAACTGATGTCCCTGCCACCAACAGCTGATACATTTATACCGCCACGACGCTCCTATCGGCCCGGGAAGGACGGAACCTGAACAGGATATTCCACCTGTGCTCTGAATTCAGAGAACGGAGTCCCACCTACGTCACAAGTTCGTGACATAACGTGCACTGTAGTAGCCGGCTGATAACGCCGCGTGTTTGGTGCCGATAGGACCTCATGAGATAACACCCTAATACAGACCACCTTAAGTGCCAAGCACAACAAGTAGAGTGATAAATCGCTGCGTAATTTGAGGTGGGTGACCTCAAAGATTAATGCCAACATTTGTTGCACCTTGTCTGGGATTTGGGATTCGATCGGGCTGATGTCATTTTTCTGAAAGCAGTGTCCTAGCAATTCCACAGACGGACGTTAGACACTGTGAACGGAAGCAGGTGCCATATAGCCAGTGTCCTCTCGAATGTCGTTTCACTAATTTTGCCACTTTATTTACGTGGGAGTGATGTAGCTTTTATAATTACATTTGTTGACCCACGCCCCGCGGGGGGAAGGGTATCAGAATCTTCCCCCTCCTATTAGATATAATACTCTTGCATAAAAAAATTAACCCTCGCGGGCCTGGGAGAGACAAAATTTACGCTCCTTCTCCCCCTTGACGAACATGTGCGATAGCTCCTGACCGTTTATGGATTGAAACGCCAAACTTTTCGTACTTTTTCGCCCATCAATTTCACATTTCTCGTAGAAAAAAATTGGACCCAGGCTCTTTCATTACGTCACATTGTCGATTTTCCTGGACCCTTGCGCGCGAATTTCGACGTCACAGACGTGGACCTCCAACAGATGCCAGAAATAGGTAGAGTTTTAGAGATAAAGACAATTTTCGAGCACGGTTGTGTATAGGATTGGGTAAAAATGTAAAAAAAAATAATTTTGGCGACCTGAGATCAGAGGTCAGGTCAACGACCCCGAGCAGGGTTTTAAGTTTTTTTTTTTTCGCAGATATATTCAACAAAAATGGCACTAGAGTCAAGGCACTGGTACCAATGCATTTGTCTTGTCAAGACGCGTCGAATGACGCATATTTTGTTTAGAAAAGTCACATCGTGTTGATTTCACGTGATTTCGAATGACCTTTTGTTGACCTTGAAACATGAAAGGTGATATATGATGAACTCGTAGCCGCTGATCACGATTTTGACATCCATTTTGCTCTAAGCATCCATTTAGAGCATCAGTATTAGTATAGCAAATATGGCTGAATTACTATGGCTGAATTGAGTCAGTGAAATAGCCTCCAGCAAGCATACTCTTTCCGACCTTGACCTTGGAACAGCCTTGTATCGCAACACGAACCAGAAATAGGTGCCTGACAACCTTCAAATTATTTCAAAACTTTTTGGAAACTAGTGTACAATTATATACGAAGAAGTGCAAACTTTGAGGTTAATTTTGCCTATGACCTTGACCTTGACCTCGAACTTTGAGCACATCATCAGATTTCTCAGATTCTCTTCTGTCTTTTCCCCTTGTTTTAACCCGTTTCATGCATCCGGCCGTCCTCTGGAACACTTAGATTGAGATCGCTACACATATGCCGATTTTTGCCTTTCACCTTGACCTCTGACCTTGAAAATTGAGCTGAGGTAAACAAAATTTGGTGCTTTAGAATCGTTTCGTACAGGGCTTTCTTCTTGTACGGTTCTTATTTCCGTTGCAACTATATTTGTGGAGTTAGGCAGGGGTAAATATTGTCCCCCCTGGGCTGTACGGGCTGGAGTTACCCCCTCCCCCCAGGGCGCCGCCGGGTTAATGAACACATTCAATACAAGTGATTGTTATGAGAAGCCAGATGGCTAGTGATGTGACTACAGTCAATCAATGTAATGCCACACCATTTGTCATTGCTTTCCTATTTCATTCCATTGAAAAGCATCGATACAGATCATTGAGCACCTGCCTATAGGTAACGGTGTTTTTCTGTTGATCTGTCGAGTGTCGGCTTCCTCTAATGCCGTTTATAAACTCCGTTGGTTCTCTCTTCCCCTGGTTCAAGAATAGATGTCGGATCGTAGCCACCAGAGAGCTTGTAGCCTTTTACCCTTTCCGTGGATATCAATGGTGAATGCTGGATGTTTCAATTCCATTGAAATTTGACGCAGAAGCTTATTACGCGTTTGCCAATCATATTGCGTAGTTCCTGTTCAAACCTACCTACGCATGCTGCATTGGCTGTGAGCAGCATGCTGATTGGCTGACGACGGCATGGCTGCATTCCTCAGCAAGGCACTCGTTCCTCTGCAAGGCACTCTTTACGGAGCGAGAAATTGAACATCTCCGTCTAGGGTGATCGTTGGGCCGTTGTTCCTCATCTGTGCTAGTCTCAGCTCAAGCTACGACACTACTATTCCAGTTTAAAACCCCATGTTAACAGTGAACTATTTCCTTTATTGTTATGTTATAGTCACACCTGCTTTCTAGAACTCTTGCCCCTCCCCCCCCCCAAAAAAAAACTACATAAGGTAAGTAGCAGCTTGAGGTAGATGCTTGAGAAGCCCACTTGTTGCGATATGACAGAAAATAAAAATGTTTAATAGCAAACCACACGTTTATTCTTTGCAGACATTACATCGTGCATCCGCTGATCTCTCGAAGGAACATAAACACATGCAATAATAGCAAAACATCTCATACAAAAACAACATACGGGATGCATGTCCCGTGCATCGCAGCTTTAAGTCCTATATATAAATTAAAGCTCTGGGAAAGGGCACAGCGGTGTGGATTCTTGCATCTTCAATTTAACCACCGATTACGGATAAATGGTTGATGTAGAAGCTTCAGTGGTCCCGTTGGTCGGCAGAGGTGCCTCGGTGGTCACGTTGGTCGGAACGGGTTCCTCGGTGGTCGGGACGGGTGCCTCAGTGGTAAAGTTGGTCGGGACGGGTGCCTCGGTGGTCGAGACGGGTTCCTCGGTGGTCGGCAGGGGTCCCTCGGTAGTCACGTTGGTCGGTACTGGTCCCTCGGTGGTCGATGCGGGTCCCTTGGTGGTCGGTACCTCGGTGGTGGTGGTGGCCGGCTCCGTGCAGTTGACGTTGAACCTGTAGTCGCACTGGTCCGTGTCTTCGTTGAAGTAGAGCCCGTCGGGACAGGTGAGCAGGATGGGCCGTCCGTTGGAGCACAGGTAGAACTGTGAGCAGCTCTGGTCGCTGGCCACGAACACGGGCTGGTCGGGGTCCGAGTTTCGGGGACAGTCGGACACGGGCGCTGCCACCAGGAGCGACGGCACGACCGCCAGCAGGGCCACACTCAGCGCCGCGCACACACGCATCATATTGATGGCTGAAACAACACAGATACGATATCAGCAGAGCTCAAGCAATGGCTTCAAAACAACATGCCTGCATGCCCATTTATTGACTAACAACCTAACCAAACAGACACTCGTATAGGCACTATTGACATGACTTGTAGAATTTTGAAAAGCGAGCCATTCATGTGGATACTTGACATGCTTGGCGGCTGGCCGCCTGGACTAGCGATTTTTAACTTTGTCTTACCTTTGAATCGAGGAAGTACTTGTCACCACTGAACCAACAGCTTCTGCCTTCTGGACTGCCTCGCTCTGCGGTGCCTGTCAGCTGTGTAGCTCTGGCACTCAACTGATGTCCCTGCCATCAACAGCCGAGACATTTATACCGCCACGACGCTCCTATCAGCCCGGAAGGACGGAACCTGAACAGGATATTCCACCTGTGCTCTGAATTCAGAGAACAGAGTCTCACCTACGTCACAAGTCCGTGACATAACGCGCATTGTAGTAGCTCGCTGATAACGCCGTGTGTTTGGTGCCGATAGGACCTCATGAGTGCCTTCGCAGATCTTGTTTTTAACACGCTTTCTGAAGTGCCAAAACATTGCAAATATGTGTTGATATTTTTCCTGGAGAGACTGAAGCTGCGTGAAACCAGAGAAGAAATGCACTAATCGTGACAGGTCCGAGATAATCACGAAAGAAAATGTCGTCATTTCCTTCAAACAGCATCCAAATGGTAGACGCACAACAGCTGCGGAGAACGACAACGGTGACAACTGACATGGCCAGTCCGCTTAACCCTCGCGGGCCCTGGGGGTGGCGTCCCCCCCCCCCCTGGCGAATATTTGCGATAGCTCCCGAACGCTTAGGGATAGGAAAACAAAACTTTCAGTACCTTTTCTCAATCAATTTGACATCTTCTGAAGTAAAAAATTTGGACCTAGCCCCCTTGATGACGTCACAGGGTCGATTTTTCTAGACCCCTGACCGGCAAACTTCGGCGTCACAGACGCAAACTTCAAATAGCTGCTAAAAATAGAGTTTTAGAGATAAAGACAAATTACGAGCAGAGTTGTGTAGCGTTTGACCTAGAGAAAAATAAAAAAATAGTTTTGGTGACCTGAGGTCAGAGGTCAGGTCAACGACCCCGAAATGTGGTTTTAGTTTTTCGCAAATAACTTCGATAATAATGGTCCTAGAGCTACCGCAGTGGTATGTACCATCGCATTCGTCTTGTCAAGCCGCGTCTAATGATATATATTTTGTTTGGAAAAGGTCAAGTTTTATGTTGACCTCATGTGACCTGGAATGACCTTTGGTTGACCTTGACACATGAAAGGTCGGCTATGATGTATTTGTACCCACTGATCACGAATCTGGCATCCATTTCCCTCTAAGCCTTCATTTAGAGCTTCCGGATGGCAAAATTGTCTTATTTATTATTACTAACTTGAATCAGTGGCATAGCCTCTAGCCTAGCAAGGATACTCTTCTGTGACCTTGACCTTTGGGCAGCCTTGTATCTTAAAATGAACCACAAATAGGGAACTGATAAGCCTCAAAACATTTCAAAACATCTTGGAAGTTAGCACGCAAGATGTACGAAAAAGTGTAAAGTTTGAGGTCAATTTTGAGCGTGATCTTGACCTTGACCTTTGATTTTGAGCACAGTTTCGGAATCCTCAGAATCTCTTCTTTCGTTTCACACCCAATTTTGCCGGTTTGATGCATCCTGCCGTCCTCTAGAACGCTTACTTTGAGATCACTACACATGTACCGGTTTTGCCTTTGACCTTGACCTCTGACCTTGAAAATTGACCTGAGGTCAAAAACTTTAGGTGCTTTAGAATCGTCTCGTAAGGACCTTTCGTTTGGTATCGCTTTTGTTTCCGTAACTCCCTTATTTACGAAGTTAGACAAGGGGGGGGGGGGGCGAAAAACGCTCCTCTCCGGGCTGCGGTGGTTGGGATTACCCCCCGGGCCCGGCCGGGTTAACGAGCAGATTTTTTTCGATACTTCTCTAGTTAATGTCGTTAAACTATGCGATAGGCGTTATCACAAGTGTATTCGCGGACATTGGGGCAACGTAAGAAAAGAAGAAAACAAGTGGCTCCAAGAACTTTAAATTATCAGTTAGCATGCATCTTTTCCTTGATCTGTAGAGAATTTACCATTAATTGCTAGAGAAAATTGCATTTAAAATCTTCCATCTATGCTTTTTTCATCGTTTGCACAATATGTTCTTTTATTAAGCTAGAAATACTAATTAGAAATAGTTCCCGCATCATCAAGAACAATAAGGAAGGCTTGAAGTGAATACAATAATCTAAACGGTGTTGTAATCTATGTGAAGACACTTCTAAAATTGCCTGTAGAAATATTGAAGGCAAAAGTTCAACTTTTTCACAAGACGGATGTCTGTAAACCTATTCAACGTGTGACAACTCAGCCGGTATTTCGTCGCCTACAGCCCAGCTTTCCCTATTGACCGATAGAGGCGCTGCTATCGATGTCCGCCCGTGCCGCCTAACGGTGTATTATGCCTAAAAGAAATCCTCATATGCTATTTGCTCTTCTTACAACACGTTACATATTTACTCACTGATTCGATGAGCTCATCTTACAGATTTACAGGTTATTTTGAGGTTAATTTGAGGACAATGCAGGTAAAACGTCTCCAGGCACAATTTAAATATTTGTCAAAAGTGAAATAACTTTCAATATGATTTTCTCAACTTGCTGCTGCATCTCCCCTGGTTTGTGGATGCTCCTTTAGCAGTTAAGGAAGATACCGACTACAGATACCAACTATACAGATGCAGATACCAACCAGAGGGTCATTAGTTTGCTGGCCTCAGGGTCCTACGTTGTCCTGTCCTGTCGCAGTTACGTCACTCGGTGAGAACGGAAACAGCTGACTGCCATCCGTCAGCTGACGGGTCTGTGGCTGTGTGACGTCATTAAAGTACCCAGAGACAGAGAGTCCGAATAGTGAACACACCACAGCACACAAATAAATTGTTTAAGGCAATTTTTATGTAAAAGGCACCGAGGTTGTACTTATTTAAAAAAAAACATACCGATGTAAGACATAAGAGGGAAAGGGTTTCGATATAACCAACACATTCTCCGTTCCTGAATGTCAAGCAGACTACTTATCATATTTTTTATTTAAGAACACACAAATTTATATTGCGTATCGGTTGGGTGCCTGAGGTTAATACTCGCTAAATACACAAGGGCATCGACAGACGCAAGGTTCAAAAACGCTCGGAGAAAAGACAAAAATATAAGATGCGAAGGAAAGATTAATCGACGCTAAATACGATAATTCTAACAATAATAGCAGTCGTGTAAATAGTATTCCGTCATTAAAAATGTTCGCTTTGGCCTTCAAATGGATCAGGATAACAATCTGCAGCATATACAACAATAAATTGCATTATGTCGATTAGACACGCATTGGATAGCATAAAATGAAATTTGAAACAGATGTACATAGCATAGATAAAATTAGACGAGATTATGTAGAAAAAATGGCATGGAAGTTCTACCTGTTATGAAGTTCAGTAAATTTTACAGAAGCTGACAAGTCAGCCGTTTCCGCTCTCAGGATCTGCGTGCACCGACCGTATACAGCTACGTCGGAGTGGTCCTGTTTAGCGTGAACTGACGTCACTGATTCAACAATAACACAGACTGCCCGGCTCCGGCTCGCCCACTTCAGATCTCCGGCCCGGGAACTTTCCCACGGCCAATGTCAGGGTACTTCTGACGCCACTTGTAGCTTACGATCGACAGAAGCACTCGTGACACCTTATCGTCTCTTCGCTCTTATCTACCGTACGGTACTAGTTCTAGGACCCGACGCACATTACGTCATGAGCTATCTTACGCGAATGAGAGTTGCGTTCGCTGAATAGTGTGTGCAAGTGAGATATGTCACACAAGGTCTAGGCGACAAGATATGATATGAATTGATACACCAACGGTATAAATACAGTCCTAGGCAGCAGTAGCAGCAGCAGTTCCACTTCAATCAGCAACAGCCTACCTAGTTAGTTGGTTACGTAGCTGAACCGCTGACAACTCTGCTCATAGCCAGCGCCTAACGAGCTTTTGCTGCTTTTTCTCACTTGTGCTCTTCAGTTGAAAGGTAAGCATTGCTACATAACAGAGCTTGTTTGTTATGAATTTGTTATGAATCTTGTTAAGTTTTACCATGCGTGTTTATGTTGCACCTATTCGTTTCACCTGTCTCTGACATGGAACAGTCTTTCCACAAGTGGATGTTGATTCATTCCATTCAGGTTGTGTTAATTTCACAGAGTACCTAGCTTATTAGTTAGATAAATAGCAAAGTAAAGATTATGCTTATAACTCAGCACAGTGTCGCGAGGGCTGCAGTAATTATTCATCATTTCGTCTGTCCATAATAATTCCTAATTAATTCCTTTCCATTTCAGCCATCAGTATGATGCGTGTGTTCGCGTCGCTGAGTGTGGCCCTGCTGGCGGTCGTGCCGTCGCTCCTGGTGGCAGCGCCCGTGTCCGACTGTCCCCGAAACTCGGACCCCGACCAGCCCGTGTTCGTGGCCAGCGACCAGAGCTGCTCACAGTTCTACCTGTGCTCCAACGGACGGCCCATCCTGCTCACCTGTCCCGACGGGCTCTACTTCAACGAGGACACGGACCAGTGCGACTTCAGGTTCAACGTCAACTGCACGGAGCCGGCCACCACCACCACCGAGGTACCGACCACCGAGGGACCCGTGTCGACCACCGAGGGACCAGTACCGACCAACGTGACCACCGAGGGACCTGTCCCTACCAACGTGACCACCGAGGGACCCGTCCCGACCAACGTGACCACCGAGGGACCCCTGCCGACCAACGTGACCACTGAGGCACCCGTCCCGACCAACTTCACCACTGAAGGACCCGTCTCAACCACCGAGGCACCCGTCCCGACCAACGTGACCACCGAGGCACCCGTCCCGACCAACGTGACCACCGAGGCACCCGTCCCGACCAACGTGACCACCGAGGCACCCGTCCCGACCAACGTGACCACCGAGGCACCCGTACCGACCAACGTGACCACTGTAGTGCCTATCCCGACTACCGATAACACTGCAACTACTCAATTTTAGTAAAGATATTGCTACAGCCTTACGCCATTTGATATTATCTGGTCGTTGTGTTTTTTTCTTTGTTTAGTAAATGACAGCTTGTCGCGATGCATAAAATGTCATTATTCCTCAAGAATAACTGGCACTGATGGGCTGTTTTTAATGTGAATGCTGCAGCTGACCTAATGCATTATTTTGATATATTAGCTGTTTGTTACACTATCCTATTTGCATGAATATATTTAAATAAATATGTGACAAGATAGCGTTTGTTGATAAGTAAGCGCAGACGGCGCCTGATGTTAGCATCTGCCATGACGGTACACCCGTTGTCTATTACGTGTGCCGTAGACGTCGTACTCGTATAGCTATATTTCCAACCTCCTATCCCCTCCCCCCTGCACCGCCACGACGAAACCCCCTAATGCCACCCGACACAGGCTCGTCGGAGTCGTCTCTGGCGCTCCGCAAACCCTTCGGAGACGCACGACGGCGACAGTGACGCTGACGAAAAGAGACGCACCCGGGAACACTGATAAATGACGCTGTTGTTTGAAAATTAGAGAAGCAGAGCGCTCGTCGAGGGAGGCCTTGCTCTTAACAAAGGTGCAACAGAGGGCGGACGGGGTTGCATTTGTGAGAAATTTCAGGACAGAAGAGATTATTTGTCGGGATTGGTCGTGGTGCTGCTATTGTCACAAAGTGATAAGTATTATAAGTATTTTCACAATATTTTGTTGGCACGAGACCGGTTTTATCGATGTTGATTCGAGCCGGTAGATAGATGAGAACGACCCCCCCCAAAAAAAACATGAACAATAGTAAGATATTAAATCAGCATTACTGCCATTCAATGTCTAATAGTTAATGGAACATCTACCAATCAGTTTACCTATTTGAATATTTCTAATACATATCCATTGGTATCAAATATTTCTTCATAGCACGGCACTTATAAAAGGCAGCTGCCTATTAAGTGATTGGTACCTAATCGGGTGAAGGTTCTGCTTGGTACCTGAAACGTCGAGATGATGCGTTATTTAATCAACATGTGATCATCGATCCGTTGCAGGGGACATCCAATTTGCCGCGTACCTGACAAGAATCGATACAAATCGCTTTGGATAATGAACTACTCAGTCGGGGCAAATTTGACGGTATCGTCAATATTCCGATATTTGTCGCCATATGACTTCATATGAGTCCATATTTCCCCACCTGTCACCTATATTCAGACATTTCTCACAGATGAATGCCGCACTGGCGGCAGCCGCCGTCCAGCCTCTCCGCCCGCGCCCAGTTCATTTCGACACATCTGCGCCGCCATTGTCTCGCCTCACCTGTCACGTCAAGTGGCGCGGCTGAGACGACATTTGGCGCGGCTGAGACGTGTGGCGCACTGGGACTGGGCTCCAATAACCGCCGGGCCAGGGCACTAATATGGCCCCGATTGGAGGTCCGGTTTGGGAGGCGGAACTGCGCGAATAGAGGCAGAGCCAGTCGGCTGAGGCAGAGACTCCTGGAGGAAGAAGCTGCATATGGGTGCCCTTTTACAGTGCACATGCAGTTCAGAAGAATCTCGCGTGAACGCATAGATGGGTGTAATACGGGTAAGTCAAGAGAGGAAGTAAAATTGTACGGTGCTGGTTTGGGATGACAATAAGAAAAGTTTTATCACTATTTGACATCATCCGTCTTCAAAGAAAGCTCATAGTTGTGGCAACTTATATCACATATTGAAACGTTTAGCCCTTTATTTCTTTAGTTTTAAATTTACCATATGCACTTGCAATTCGAAATCCGCATAAAGATTTGAAATAACAAACAAAAAATAACTCCGAGCGTAATTTGTTACACATTTTTCAATCTAACTGACACAAATATCTAATTCAAACTATAAGAATATATAACCTCCGCTGTCCCGGCCCGGCATGGTTCGGTCCATCAATTCTGATTTAGTTCGTTTCGCCGGGGACGTTTTATGCGATACCTGACTGATCTGACTGGCACTTTTTATCAGTTAAGGCGCGACTTTTCAGTGGCCGACTCCGTCTGAAGCCGAAGACTTTATCCAATGTGTCCGTTGGCGGATTAGTGGCCCTGTTATTGGCCATAGCCAGTCAGCCGCAGAGAATAATGGGCCCTTGGGAGGTCATTAAATTTAAATAGTGGGTGTCGGTCATAATTCACGGTGTCAAATGCTGCCTTTGGCATTTTCGGTCCGAGAGTGTTTGGATCATCACCTGACGTTTTTTTTCTTGATGAGTCGCATCGATGGAGTGGACTGCATCAATCTAGGTCAATTGCAGGCCAAGATGATACCTTCAATATAAAGAAAATGGTAGGTGTGTCATGTCGGAATATTCATTCAATTTCTACGAATGAAATTCAGAAGCTCTGCTCAAGTCCCAATTTCTAGAACAGTTGTCTCAGTTGTCTCAAGTAATTAACTAAAAATGATAGCTTAATTAAGCTAACGAATCATTTGTCTCTCAAAAATATGACGATCAATCTTTTGGTAAAGTCTTATCTGGCCCAGTTAAGTATAAGAGCGCTTTAGTCTGCAATGGTCGCAGCTCGCTATGCTTTTTCAGCGGGAATCCGGTCAACAGCAAATTATAGGCCTGGCGAGATCTAGCATAAAACAGCACCCTTGGGTTCTGTCCTCATCTCACATGTGCAATGTGAAATGTACATAATAGCCGTTTTTACGACGACCTATCTGGTGAATGCACCTAATTTGACCAAATATCTACCAAATCTCTTTTACAGCAAATATCTTAACCCTCGCCGGACCTATTGGTTTTCTACATACGCGCCGGCCGAGGGGGGGGGGGGGGGCGGGTACGACACCCCCTCGCCGTTTCGCCCCTGGTGGAGCTAGCGCGTCGCGGCGTGTGCGCCGTTACGAGACGCAGAGATTGGTACCCGATTTTAAGGTCCTAGGTCAACCGGTGACCTCTGAGGTCAGGTCAAGTGCCCCAAGGTACGGTTCAGTTTTTGGTGAATAACTTCGCAAAAAACGGCCGCAGAGCCGCGATTTTGGCAGCATCGTGTTCGTGTCGCTCAGGCGCGTCGAATGATATACTTTTTGTCCCGGTCAGGTCAACTTGGGGTGTTGACCTCAGGTCAAGGTCAGGTCAGCACCCCCAGGTCACGAAGTTGGTCGAAAGAGGTCATGTTGCATATCATTTGATTCGGCAGGTCTTCCTGAGTCCATTGGTGGCTTTCCCGACTCGCTAGCTCAATTTGATCAAGAGTTATTGACGAAAAACTAATATGGCCTTGATGACGTCATAAATGACGTCACGCAAGGTCAACATTGCAAAAGTGACGCATCTAACCTTGCAAGGAGTGCATCAAATTACGATTCCGTGTGCTTGAGATAGTTGGAGATCGTTCCCGGCGCCAGAATAACAGTTTTCATTTTCCCCATTGACTTATAATGGTGAGGTCACGAAAATGACCTGACCTCAAATGACCTTTAGGAAAAATCCGAGATATACAAGTTGTGAGACTCATAATGGATACTAGATCCTGCAAGTTTCATTTCCCTGTGACATCTCCTCTGGCAGTGAGGGCGTTGCGAAGTTGCGACATCTGAAGACCGTGCAGAGGTTCACTTATGACGTCATAAGTCAGTGACCTGACCTGACCCGAAAATGCGGTTGGTGTCTAAAGATCCGGCTTGAATCAAAGATCAGGTATGCCAAGTTTCAGCTCTCTATCGCCAGCGTGGTCGGAGCTATCGCGAAAAAAACCCTATGGGGGGGCGGCACCCGCCCCCCCCCCCCTCGGCCGGCGAGGGTTAAATTATAAATTCATTTCAGTGTTTTAGTCGATGATAATATCTGATATTATGACAAAGAAGGTATATAAACAATTAGCGCAACCCTAGCTAATAGGTGCGAAGAAGCACACTGAACCTAATTTGACCAAATGTGCACCAAATCTGACCAAATCTGACCAAATGTGTACCAAATGTGTACCAGATGGCCGTCGTGAAAACGGCTACTATTCTATTTTTGCGGTGGCAGATTGAAAAGATTTGCAGTTGCACATGAAGTGCTACGCCGCCACGGTGCTTTATTTCAGGGCACTCCGGTCATGACCTTTAAAGCTCGCTGACATATGGAATTCCCATCCGGGCCACTCAATCAGATAAAGATGTTTCCAATCTTATCAATATAGCATCAAATATCAAACGCTTAGGTACCATCGAATTCTTGATATTTGTGATAACTTTGCAAATTCTGCTGACCATTTTGTCTTAGCGATAAGTTATGGATGAGAATACCTTCGAGGGAAGAGTGTCACGCATGAAATGCGTGTCTATCGATCCAGATTCTATGAAATACTCCTCTGAGAACAGCATGCCTATAGAGAACTACACTGAGAGAAAAGTTGACTCTTCCCAGCACATTGGGGAGAGTTGTCATTTTTGATTCCCGATGCAACTCTTCTTCGACACCAAACTCGGATAAAAATCATCTAGAAATAGCCCACGCACGATCAAAAAGTGAATGCGACCGATCTTATGCGAAATGGCATGCAGACATATGAGAAAAGACACAGACCTCAAACCTGATAATTCTTTACATTTACACCACTTGATCAGTCATTACGCACAATGTTATCTGGCATATCATCAAAGCGCTATGGAGGTCAGCTTCCTAAAGTCTGTTAGATAGATAACCCACGGAAACTCGACAATCTTGGACCAGTCGGCGCTCTCAGCCCCACCTTAGCGTCCGTCCTGCCGCGGCGGCCCTGACCCGCTGCTCAGTGACGGCCTGAAGAGCCCCCTGTTCCATGGGCCGCGCTCCACCGCTGTCCGACAGGGGCGCCGGCAAACATTTACACCGGGAAGTGAGTCGTTTATTCAAGTGGAGCCAATGTCACGGAGCGCTTGGCTGCAGGAAAAGGCGAGGACACAGCCGGGAGTCGGCGGATGTGGCCATCACTTAGACAGAAAAATGTGCCGGAATAAGACAATACAATGTTCAAACACATCGTAAATGCAAAATATGTAATTGCGAGCGAAGTTCCAGTGCAATATAATCTCAGGATTTCGTAAACGATTAAATCTGAGCCTCTCGTATTGCTGCGAGGCTTTATCTCAATTAGGAGCGAGATGGCAGGGACTTGCATCAGATTTCATCCGCCCGAGCTGTAAGAGCTCCGCACTGGGTGCAAACACATTAAAACCACTCTGGTTCTCTATTTCGGCTATCAAAATATTCCCGTTATCTGCTGCAACAGC